CATAAAGAGCTAAACAACCACAATGATTGATGACCTCTTGACCTTAAATAAACAACAATAATGACTCATGACCTCTACAATATGACCCCAACTAACACATTAATGACATAATTCACACCAATAAATGAATCAATCAACCATTTTGACCTTAAATAACTCCACAATGACAAAACCTGAGTCCATAAATACGCTAAATGACCCCTCAATAACCTATGACCTTCGACCTCTTCTGACCACTAAATAAAATCCCTCAGTGGTGATTTAAATTGGATCAGGAAATATAGTGTGAAGTTAAATCGTATGTATGTGTATATGTGTATGTGTGTGTGTGTGTGTGTGTGTATGTGTGTGTATGTGTGTGTGTGAAACGCCCTTAGTGGCCACTGTCGTACGGTGGGTCCTTAAAATTTTGTGGGTAAGAAAGGTAATTCAGGTTTGGGGGGGTGATGGTTATTGGGGAGGGGGAGGAGGGGTGAGGGTTATTGGGGGAGGAGGAGGAGGGGGTGAGGTGGGGGAAAAGGAGGGGTGAGGGTGGGGGAAAGGGAGGGGAGGATCGGGTTAGAGAGAGAGGGGGAGGTGGGGGTTAGGAGGGAGGAGTGAGGGGAAGGGGACAAAGGAAGGGGGAGGGGGTGTTGGTGTTAGGGGAAGAGAGGGGGGGGATAAAGAATACTACAGAGGCTTTATCCTATCACAAAGGCTTCATTATATAACAGGTCTTAACTCACCCACAAACTCAACCCATCATTCTCTTAACAACAAAAATATCGAAATAATAAAGTAATTAAAGAATAAACCAAAATAACAAGTGAATAAAGAATGAAATGAATAAAATACATAAATAACGAATGAAATAAAATGAATGTTAAGTGATACGATTACAAACAACAACTCTCTCTCTCTCTCTCTCTCTCTCTCTCTCTCTCTCTCTCTCTCGTGTTGTCGAGGTGAATCATAACAAACTCACAACAACCAGACATATGAATTAATTGTCTACATAATAATAAACTATGTGTACAATATGATTTTCCTCCAATACTGATACATTCATTTGTTGATAGAAATTCAGAACGTTTTTGAAGTCAATTTCCGACAAACGTTTCTGATATAGGAATTGGGACGAGTTTACGATATCCTTATAGTCCTAAGAAAGTATCGTTTTAATATGAATGATAAAATATGTTAAATTTTTACTTCGTTCCCTGTAGATCAAAATTATGTAGGTTTTATTATTATTTTTAATCTAATGACAGTATTGAAGGTACAGGTACAGGTACAGGGATTTCAAAATAATAATACACACACACACACACACACACACACACACACATACACACACACACACACACACACACACACCAATGACACAATATACCACGAGACAGGTATATAGACAGGACGTAGTGTAATCAAGGACTCTGATATCACCAATACCTGTCACAACTTCCTCTTACCTGTCAAAAGTTTGCGTAATTAAGCGTGTTATATATCCCAACAAGGACAGGTACGCCAGGTAAAGGAAGTTAAATATTGTAAGAAGGATAATTTAGCAAAGGAAGTTAAATATTGTAAGAAGGATAATTTAGCGGCTGTGGTGACTCCCCTGTAAGTGATGAAGGAGGAGCTTGAGTTTTGCCGCCCATTTGTACGCATGCGCTGTCTGAATGTAAACAATAGACTCGATCCATGGTGCGTAATACAGTCAATAGATTATTATGCCTTCTTACGGTAGTTGGATAACCGGATAGATGGATAGCTACGTTAATACCCCCTTTTGCACTTTAGTCCCGCGGAAATTCATAATAATAAATACAATATTATGCATTATACCACTGCGTCATAATCTTCGATACCATCTCATTATAAATCGACTTTCCACCACATTACTTGGACAGACTTGCAGATATTACACCAACAGATCACCAAAATACATAGTCAACCATAGGTATGAAGATGGGTGTCTTATGGTATTCGAACCTATAAACCTCTCAAACAGTCTTCTAGCAGTACGGCATTCTGTTTTCGTTAATGTTACTGTGTATATATTGTAATATTATCAGTGTTATTAATATTTCCCCTATTGACTCACATATTTTTATAAAATGTCTGTACAGATACAATTTGTCTAACTGTTATGAAGTGTGTCTCAAGTGTTGCTTCAATGATGTCCCCTTTTTATGAAACTGATTCGACTGACACTTAATTGTATCGAGTTTTGAATTCTGTTCGAAATAAACTGAAAAGTAGTGGTAGTAAAGTGTTAAAAGGGTAGACAGACTAACAGCTATATCTCTCACCAGTTCAATCACATGGTTCCTTACCGTCTCAATCAGCTGACTTACCTCGCTGACTTTACACTTGTCAGGATGCATGTCACACTCACCTGTAATTAAGACAAAGACGTCATCAGTACAAAAGACGACAGTACTTACATATGATACAAAAATACATTTAATACAGTTAGAACGATTTTTTGTACCCAGATGATAAAAATTGGCTACAAATATTATGAAACCATAAAAAAAATATTCTTGGAAAACAGAATTAAGTTAGAGACCTACCTGGCGGGGCAGGAGGGTTACCTGGATAAGCCTAAGGATAGAATGGATGCCAAGAAAAGATAAGAAGGGCTACTTGAATAAGCTGTTGGTTAGAATAGATACACAGATAAGCTTAGAAGAGGTAGTACCTGGATAAGCTTTAGGATATAAAGAATTACCTGACAAAAGCTTTATGGAAGATGAGGAAGACTTAGGTAAACTTTAAGCCAAGAGAAGGAGATGGACAAGTTTTGGAGGAGGACCTTGTCTAAGCCACCAACAACGTGAGGTCCTGCTCGAAAGTTTTAAGATGGAGGGGGGGAGTGGGGGGGGCTATCCATCTGTACTCGGGGCTGGTCCAATGGGCCCCAGTCCTCATAGGTCTGAATCTAATGGGCTCCTATCCTGATGCTAAGGTAAGGCTGGGTGTAGTTAGGTTAGGTTAGGCTAATTTTCGATAAGTTAGGTTAAGCTGGGTTGGGTTGGGTCAGGTTGGGTTGGGTTAGGTATGATTAGATTAGAAAAAGGTTAGGTTAGGTTAGGTTAGCTTCTTATACAAATGTGACCTAATGACAAGCCACATCGTTTAACCCTACCATCGCCTCGGTCAGAAAAACAACAACACCCATCTCCTTAATTTGGGCCCAAGAGACGAAAAATTATAATCTTTATAGGACATGAAAAAACCTTACCTGAACACCTTGGCCAGAAAAAGAGACCCATTAATTATGTTATCAACGAGACATAGATTAAGGTTACCTGATATTTTTCTATGTCAAGACCAACACAGGGAATATAACATAGATAATATATATATATACTAAAACCTCTATACGAAAGCAACATGAGGGGTCACAGCTGTTGACATTTTACACCACAACATTTCTCCTTTAACTCTGTATATCAATATATTCATATGGTCTCCTCTACACCTGACAAAACACCTCAGGTATTTCCCTTCCTTACTTGTGTCTCTCTTGTTTGTCCACAGGTAACTTAATAACTCAAAACATGTTTATATTTTACACCTAAACAGTTTTGGCTGGTCGGGTTTACTCAACACTCCATTAAACGAGTCGTTGGCTGGTCGGGTTTACTCAACACTCCATTAAACGAGTCGTTGGCTGGTCGGGTTCACTCAACACTCCATTAAACGAGTCGTTGGCTGGTCGGGTTTACTCAACACTCCATTAAACGAGTCGTTGGCTGGTCGGGTTTACTCAACACTCCATTAAACGAGTCGTCAATGTTTATCTCGTTTATAGACGCCTTATTATATCTTATTGTGTATATAAATTTGATATGACACAAAACCTGAAGGCATTAATATGTTGATGTAGGTATGAGTTTGTGATTAGGTGAGAGTAATAATATCCTGCACTAGGGTAGCGTTCAGTTCTGGAGTGTTACTTATTTTGGAGGAGGAGGAGGGGAAGGGGAAGATAAGGAGGAGGAGGGGGGAAGAAGAAGAGGAGGAGGAAGAAGAAGAAGAAGTGGATGATTAAGAGGAGGAGGAGGAACTTGTTTGTGGGGTGTGAGGTTAAGGTGACCACATACACAACAGTGTGACCCATAAGCCTCTCACCACAACTCAGGGATCTTACTATATGCTGATGGAGTTAGGTTAGGTTAGGTTAGGACTGGGGCCAAATTAGCATACACACATCAGGGAGAATTTCGACATCTTTGTATGGTAATGGAGGTGGAGTGAGTGGGTGGAGGGAAATGGTGGAAGGGTGTAGAGGGGGGAAGGTTACAGGAGAGTAGATGTACAGGGGGGTAGGGGAGGGGTAGAGGGGGTAGGGGTGTAGAGGGGGTAGGTAGAGGGGGGTAGGTGTAGGGGGTAGGTAGAGGAGGTGTAGAGGGGGGTGGGGGGAGAGGGGGGGGTAGAGGGGGGGGTGGGGTGTAGAGGGGGGGGGTAGGTGTAGAGGGGGGGGTATAGGGGGGGGGTAGGGGGGGGTGTTAGAGGGGGGGTAGGTGTAGGGGGTAGGTGTAGAGGGGGTAGGTGGAGGGGGTAGGTAGAGGGGGGTAGGGGTAGAGGGGGTAGGTGGGAGGGGGGGTAGGTGTAGAGGGGGGTAGGTAGAGGGGGGGTGTAGAGGGGGGTTAGGTGTAGAGGGGGTTAGGGGTGTAGAGGGGGGGTAGGTGTAGAGAGAGGGAGGCGGGAGGATGTAGTGAGAGGGAGGGCGGGAGGATGTAGTGAGAGGGAGGGCAGAGGAGGAGGGTTGGGTGGAGGGAGGGTTGAGGAAACTACCCTTTTCACAATGTCAGTGAAAATGACCTTCAATCACTCAAAGGTTAACCAGAGAGAAGACAGACGGACAAACACACTGACAGAGACTGAATGGCAGACAGACAGGCCAGGCAATACGATACAAACTTTACACATTTCGCGGCAGAGTAAACAACAACAACTATAATGGTCAGGACAATAACAAAAGGATGGATATATGTCTTTTAACTTACCTTTATCAAATTTAAAAATATGATCCATCTTGACGACTGTATGAGTAGCGTTCAAGATATCTTATTCCTTCCTTTCTTGTCAAAATATAGCACACGTTATCACTTAATATCGCAAAGAAAATATATCACTCTCTTCAATAATATTTACTTTCAATTGTTACACACGCAAAACACTTCGCTCGACGATTAATCATATTCCACTTTTTAACTCGTAGGTGAGCAGAGAGGTGGCGGGGAGGAGGAGGAGTGGGTCACACAACACGCCGACCATCACTCTCCTGCTAACCAACACCCACGTCTGGCTCCTCACCTTCACCTGGAGCGCCACACAAGGTCCTCGTACACTCCCTCCAGCCACAACTACACACTTTCCCCTCCAACGTTAGTAAATATACATGTGTGTGTGTGTGTGTGTGTGTGTGTGTGTGTGTTTTGGTTTTGTGTGGGTGTGTCTTGACTCGTCTAGACACCCAGAGAGAGAGAGAGAGAGAGAGAGGGAGACACACATACACAGACACACTCCGCACTAGGCACTGATATGTTCAGAGAATACTGCACCAAGTCTCCTAACTTCTCTTGCCACACTGATAAGACGTCACTATACTCTCTAATATATATTCATTCCACCCCAGACTTCACCATCAACACTCATCTTCACCTCCAACATGAATCACACCCTATCAACTACTTGTTTTAGTTGTAGAATAAGTTAAAATTCTTGTAGATGATGCATGAGGGAGTTCTAAATGGCCCAAGTTCATTACCAGGTACTCTTGACAAGCCGTGTGAGTCAGACTATGGGCCGAGTGGTGAGATAAGATATATAGATATTGGCGGTGGTGATAGCGGTGAAGGTATAAGGTCTCCCCCAAGGTGGTCGCGTCGGTCGTAAGGTCCACTTGTGTTTGTTGTCAACACTAGCGGATGTTTCATTATCTTTTCATTTACTATTTTCATTGTATATATCTTCTGGTCTCGTTGTTTCGTCTTCCTGTCAATGTGTATTTGCTCGAAACAAGGCTGACAAACTGGGTTCACACAAAGGAGTGTTAGTTACAAGACTAGCGAGGTCATCCTAAAACTGTATCTTGCTCTTGTGAGACCACACCTGGATTACGCAGTTCAGTTCTGGTCACCGTATTACAGAATGGATATAGAATCCTTGGAAAGAATCCAGAGGAGAATGACAAGACTAATCCCGGGCATTAGGAACCTTGAGTATAGAGACAGGTTAAAGCATCTTAATTTGCACTCCCTCGAGAGACGTAGAGCGAGGGGCGACCTGATAGAGGTGTATAAGTGGAAGGCAGGGCTAAACAAAGGTGATATAACAAAGGTACTCAAACTATTCAACCATGAACGAACTCGTAGCAATGGTTTTAAATTAGACAAATTTAGATTTAGGCGCGAGATAGGTAAACATTGGTTTGGAAATAGAGTAGTGGATGAGTGGAACAAGTTACCAAATATCATCATTAACTCGAACACGCTGGGTAGCTTCAAACATAGGTTGGATGGATATATGAGCGATAGGGGTTGGGTGTAAAAGGGACTGCCCAGTATGGGCCAATAGGCCCGCTGCAGTTTCCTCCATTCTTATGTTCTTATTTGTCATCGTATTTTCCCATCTATAGTCGTCTCGTACAGGTGATAAGTTATCGCTATCAGTTGCGACTCGTCATTATTTCTTCTTTCCTACACACACACACACACACACTATACAGTCAAACGCTCCTAATGGTCAGTTAACTGTTGCAATCTTTTCGTTTTCTGCAACATTGGACAGATGGTGAACACTAAAGATGCATATTCCACCCTTTATTTTTCTCTTTTATCTCAAAATTGAACGAATTAGTAATTTATTTTCGTCGGTGTATTAAGTTTGAATCCTTCTGTATCTTATCGGAACCATACTAATCTCCGGAACTGGAACCGTCAATAATTTATTCTTGAAACTGTGGATTTGGTTATGAGGCGACGCAACTGTTGAGCAATGATGAATGTTAATCGATGACGTCATTTCTAACCAAAAGCATGTGACGTCAAAACCTAACCAATCATGTATGAATTTAGCAATGACGTCATAGCTAGACCAGTGAATGTGGAATCTTAAGCGGTGACGTCACAGCTAACGAATCATATAGGACTTTCCAATGATGACGTCAAAACTAACCAATCCTGTACGAGCTTAATGTTGACGTCATAACACTCGCCCCACCCACCTGAAGAAAACGCTTCACTGCAGGTTGTATAACTGATTTTGAACCTTTTAACGGAACTTTAACAGAACCTATTGTGAATAACTTAAAAAAATATAGATTATTATAGACAAACAAGAAATAAAGTAATTTTTGTATCGTAGAGTTTTAAAAAAGTTACTGCAATGGTAAACTTCTTAGGAATAAAAAACCAAAAAACAAAATCAAAATCTATGTTAATGATTCAACAGCAACATTAACACAATTAATTTAACTCCCCAAATGTAGTACATGATAACAAGTCAATTAGAAGCGTTAATTAGCATATTCTTATCAGTGCTAATATGTTCTCTTAGTCACCCCGGTAATGTGTTAAGACTTAATTTGATTCTTTTGACTCATTTAGGATATTTTAGGATAGCTTTATATATCAACAAGAAGATGGTAATTTGTCGACTTAAATTTCTTCGTATTTTTCAGGTGTAAAGTTTACCTGTGTGGCCAGCTGATGGGTTAATATCCTATGTAGGTATTAGTAATCTGTATATTCATCTTGTTATATCTACAAAGACAATTATATTTACCAGAGGAACATATATATATATAGCCTAGGTGGTATTATTCCCACGGTGGTAAAAGGTGAAAATAATATATACATCGTAAAATAATATTCGTGACAGTAAATTCACGTAATCGTCATAAATATAATTTTTACTGACAGAAATATTATACATTCATTATTATTCACTACAAAAAAATAGATATAGCTAATATAGTGTAGATATATAGGATATATACCTGTTGAAAATATCTAGGTTAATATAATATAAATATCCTTTAATACCTGTTGGTAGAAATATTAATGTATTTATGGATTATTTGATAGTTATTGACAAAATATATTTATTAACGTGTAAAGTGGTGGTGGGAGGAAGGACTGGGTTACGCCACTCCACCCTGAACTGCAGCCGGCGGAAACTGACTCAGCCCAACACTATGCTATTGCTAGCTTCACATTTTCTCACAGATTGAGGACTGACGACGACAGCTGATGTAATCCTCTCCGCTCGGGTAATAGTATACTTTATGTATTATGGAGTATGCGGTGATTCTGTCTGGAGTATTTTCATCGAGAATTTTGACTGGTGATGGTGTTGAGAAGTGGTGATAGGCGGTGGTGGTGATGGTGGTGGTGGTGATAGGTAGTGGTGATGGTGGTAAGGTTTCCCGCCATGGCTCTTTAACACCTTCCACTGATGGTTAATGTTGATCCACCGTTTTCTCTTACTGTCAGGGAGAACTACCATGTTTATTTATGGTAATTCCCCTCTCTCTCTTCATTAACGTCTATCATATTTACAGGAGACTTGAACATTAACATTTTAATGGCTTTACCTTTTACATCCATTACTTCATCCGTAAATAAACACCACCCTAACGAACTAAGTACTTTATCCTCATGAATATTTAATCAATAATTAAGAAGCTTTGAGTAAAGGATAATTGTTTGAGGTAATCTTGTGGAAATGGCGAGAAACACAAGAGATGGTTGGTCGTCTCAGAGCTGCGAGCGAGGACTACAGTGACGGGGGGGGGGGTCACGTCAGGGTCACTCACCTTTACCCTAGTGAGGTCACCGGGTCATGAAACAGCAGAGGGAGGAAGGTGTGAGGGAGGGGGGAAATAGGTCAGGTCAAGGAATCACTCTCTCAGGCTCAGGTGTCACAACACTACACAGAGACAGGACCTACTGCAGGAGATGACGCACAACACCTCCACACACACGCAGTATAAAGTAAAGGAGGCAGCAGGTGGTGATGGTGTGGCACATAATACTCCTGGTAGGTCTTAAGACTCTCTCACTGCTTCATAAGGTAACGGCGTGAAGGGTCAGCTTTGTTATAACCTGACCAGCGTATATTATTTAGGCTATGAATTGTGGGTAATGGTAGTGATTGTATGTACACAAGGACCACAACTCACCTGAGGGGGTAGGTTCTCTTTCCTCCCTGCTAGACGGTATGTGTTCTGCTCCACGCCTTCCTCAACACTGTGGCAGGAGGAGGAGGGCGTGGCCACTTTTTGGTCAGGTCATGATTCAAGTGGGTAGTGTTTACTCAGTTTGTTGCCTTGTGCAGATTTCGTGGAGTGTGAAGGAGTTTTTAATATATTAAGTGGTGGCAAGGAAAGGTGTATGAACGTACGAACACACACACACACACACACACACACACGGTCCACCACCAAACCAATACATTCTGCAAGTAAAACAAAAACAAAAAAAATCCAGGAAACCTTAACCAAACACACTTCATTACCAACATTTTAAGAGGTTCCCAGGACCAGCTGCGGCGGAGGTAATCATCAACAAACCCCCCCCCCAAAAAAAAACCTCAGGTAACGTAATTAAAAGGAAAATTGAAAAACTCCTCAGGTGACTGTTTACCTTGAGTTAATTATACCTTGTCTGTGTCGTTGCAGCTCCTGTGTTTAATTAATAGGATGATGTGTTGGGTTTTATGTACAGTCAAGTTACCAAGAAACTTATAAAATATTACCCGATGGTGTTTGACCATCGTGATGCAAATATTCCCCCCATCTGTTCCCCCTTAACTGCCCCCCTTCCTCCCCAACGATACCCTCGCCCTCCGTAACAACCCCTCCCTCTTTCCCCTACCTACTCCCCTCCTCCCCTACCTCTCCCCTCCCTCCCCTACCTACCCAGTCCTCCCGCCCCACCCCCTACCCTCTCACACATAAAAAATAAATAAATAAAAATAAAAATGTATGCCAATAACAAACGCTATCACGAATACCTCTATCCCAGGCGACCCTCACCGTGAAGGTCAAATTGAGTGGTTCTCGGCAATTGGCTTTAAAAATCCCTCCCTCGGCCACATCCGCAGGCGTGGAAAGATTCTCGGCCTCGGCTCTACCACAGGCGGTCCACAGGTCAAACCTCCAAGGCTTCGGACATCTGTTGAGTCTGTTTAGTTATATCTGGAGGTGAAGAAGAGCGAGATAATAGCCACTGTTGTACTTTGTTTACTAAGGTCCTCCCTCCTCCTCCTCCAGGCGAAGAAGATGCTAAACAAGACTTCACGGTGTACTGTTGTTGTAATGGTTAGGTTAAGTGAGTTAAGGACCGAGTGGAAATTATTGTATGGCAATGGATGGGAAATAAAGGTAAGAAATGATTCCTTTGTA